TAAATGCCTATAATTAAAAAATCAAGCAATTAAAAATTAATTTGCCAAAATTTACGCTTTATGCAATTTGATATTATCAATAAAACGCTTAAATAAATAATGTGAATCATGCGTGCCAGGTGCCTCTTCTGGATGATACTGGACAGAAAATATCGGATGGTCCTTTACAGCTATCCCCTCAATACTCCCATCAAACAATGAAATATGAGTAACATTAACATTACTGGGAAATGATTTTGAATCAACAACAAAACCATGATTTTGACTGGTTATTTCGACCTTTTCACTGCTTATTTCATAAACCGGATGGTTACTTCCTCGATGACCACTACTCATTTTAACAGTTTTTGCCCCAAGAGTTATTGCAAGTAACTGATGCCCCATACATATACCAAAAACTGGTATTCTGGATCTTAAAATAATATCTATTTCTGAAGTAACACCCTTTCCTATCTCCTTTGGATCACCAGGACCATTAGAAAACACTATACCATCCGGCTTAAAACCTAATACCTCCTGAGAAAAGCCTTTTGTTGGCTTTATTAATTTAATTGCACAATCCAACTCTATTAAACGCAAAACTATACTAGTCTTAACTCCGAAATCAACTATTGCAACTCTATACTTTGCATCAGAGTTGCTTTGAAAAGCATTGCTTAAACTAACTTTATTAGTTGTTTCCACTCCATTTTCAGATATATACTCGCTTAATTCTTGTAAAATGCAATCTAGATTGATGTTATCTGACGGACATATCATGCCATTTTGTGATCCATGATCTCTCAAATGCCTAGTTAAAGCTCTAGTATCAACGCCAGATATCCCAATTACATCGTTTTCTTTTAACCAATCATTGATGCCAATATAAGAAGATGGATGTGATGCTGATGAAAGCTCTCGCATAATTACACCACTTGCAAAAATCTTTTTTCCTTCATTATCCTTACTATTTATCCCAACATTACCAATATGAGGAAAAGTAAATGTAATAATTTGGCCAGCAAAAGAAGGGTCAGTTATAGTATGCTGATAGCCTGTCATACCAGTAGTAAAACACAACTCTCCTATGCATTTGCCTTTTTTGCCTACTGATTTTCCCAAAAAGTATTTACCATCTTGTAAAATTACAATTACATCATACACTTTAATTTGTTTAAATTTAACTTTAAAAAACTACTGTAATGTTAGTAAAATTTAGCTTTTGTGAAAACAGAAAAAAATCATCTCATCGAAAGCATATCTTCTAAAATTAGAAAAGGCCTGGAAAAATTACTTATTAGCGTAATAAAATCTATAACGTAATTGCTTTAAAATAAATTAAGTGTATTACTGCTAATCAGACACTTCCTTTGAAAAGCATATTGCAAACTTTTTTAAGTACGGACTCTATGATACATCTATTCACAAGAATAGCTGATACCTCTCCTAACGCCCCCCATTACTGCAACAGCTAAAATGGCTGGCTATATATCTGATATTACATCAAAAAATAAAGAGTTTGCAACAACACCACAAGCAACACTAATTACTGTAATAATTAGCGTTAAAGTTTCGTAGAAATATAGATACTCCTCATGACGCTCTTCTTGAGTATATAAAATGACCACATTATTATATAGATAATAGTCAGTGCTACAGAAGTGAACAACTGATAATGCAATCAATAACCAAGGTAATAGGTCTTATAAAGCTTAAGCCCAAACCTATAGAAGATCCTACCATAGCTCCTATCGCGGATATCGTCCCTAAATCTTTTAAATACTCTTTATCCATATACCCCTCTCAATATTAAATTCACTATAGGTAGTATAATTTTTTACTTATTTGTAAAGTCATTAATGTAAATGTAAATGAAATACATTACTGTTAAGTAGGTGCTTTTCCTAAACAGTATTCTGCAACCTTTTTTAACTACAAGCAACATGGTATATTTCGCCGCACATATAGCTGACGCCACTCCCACCAATCCGAGCGGCAATTACCACACCAAAGCGGTTGACCATGTACTGAATACACACCAGGAAGCAAAGAACTTACAGTCGGATAGAGTAAATCCACTACTGCCGCAGTAGTTAACAATATCCCTACCATAGATATATTCCTTCTTTTTGGAAACTTGGATATCAAAGATAACTTTTTATATAGAATGCTACAATAGGTAAAACCCAATAATACCACATCACTAAAGGTGATAGAGCTGCAAGGCTTAAACCAAGACCTATAGAAGCTCCAATTACAGCTTCTACTCCAAAGAACTCTAAATTTTCTTTTTCATACTTTCTTTTAATATCAAATTAATCACTAAGTATTATAATTTACGCTAATTTGTAAAGCTATTAATATTATACTAAATATAGTATTGATTGATAGGCGCTTTTCCTGAAAAACATTCAATCACTTTTTCAATAATCTCCCCGCCATCCTTATTCCCGCGCTAGTTAAATAGCTATCCACATACCTAATATTGCAAGAATTTACAGCGCTAAGATTTAGACCAAGTGCAATAACAGCAAGGTAGTATTTTATGGACTTTTTGAACTCGTTGGTGCTCTCGTATGGATTGCTTGGATTTTGGTGTAGAGGATAGATCTGTTGGATACTTTTTTTCATCTCTAACCCATTTTTAAATCTCATATACTATTCCTTTTCTTGTTTGCCAAGAACCTCACAAGAAGTTGAGTTTCTTAGTCGAAGAAAAGATTCGAGATGTTTATAAAAAGGCATTTAAATCGTTGAGGAGCGGGATGAAAAATCAGAGAAATTTGCAGTGGCGCGGATAATACTCACTGATAATATGGACATTTGCTAAATTCACAGTGGATCCCTATAAAAAGCACCCCTTTACTCACTAGCCTCGACAAAAAGCCCCCATCAATTTTAAAAGAGATATTTTTAC